GCTAATAATGTATTTACTGAAAACGGTTCGCGTGCGGTCCGTATTCGGTTCCTATTTCAACCGCGCTCGAACGCGAAGCGTCCGTAACGGACCCGTTCGCATTTTACCTGTGAATTCTATCTCATCCCTTTCATACTTCGTAGTCTTTCTTCTTCATTTCTGTTGCCATTTCTAGCCTACGGGACGGCCACTCCTTCCCGCTTTATCAAGTTTTTATTGTCATCCGGGCATGCCAAGAAATCCATTGATATCCTTGTTATCACTATCATTCGTCATCATTATTGTCCTATACATATGTTTATCTTTGCTGTTTGATTTTCAGAAGTCCTTCCTTCCTCCTGAAAGCTTCTTCGATTTTTTTTCCTAAAATAATTCCCTGTACACCACCAAAAACGTAATTTCCACATCCTAACTATCTTCTTATTTCACAATACTCCAGAAGTCATAAATAAGTAGAGAGACTTATTTTATAAGCGAATGTTCATTTGTTGAAAATCGGGCATATATAGGAACACCAAAAGATAGGTTCAGAAGACGTTGAATAATAAGAAAGAGAGACGTAGACATAAATCTGGTTATGCAGACGTGCTGGGGGATCGGATCGTCGCTGTGGTCAGCCGGTTCCTGTAGAAGAAAGAAACCCCGGTGAAGCTTATTATCCGACAAAAGAAGAAGGGAGGAGGGGAGACATGTTGCTTTGACTTCTTTTCTTTTTCTATCCTCCGTTGAACACTTTTCCAAAAAAAGGTGTCAGAATGTTGCAAAATTTCGATATTCTATGGGGGCTTTTACTTTTTCATCTTCTCGGATTATTGAGTAACTTCAATGATCATTGAGCGGCAGATAGTTGGTTACATAAGGTTTTTAGCAACATTTCGTTGTAGACCGAGGATTTCTAGCAAGTTTTGGTTATGTTGAGAAGTTTTTGAGCATATACTGTACCGGTCAATAAGATGAGATACGTGTTTTTCCGTTGATTTTGAGCATTTTCAGGAGATATTTATTTATACCTATTTTCCTGTTTTTATACTGAAAACGTGAAAAACAGGCGTCTTTCAGAAATCGGCATATAACTGAAAAACAAGAAAATTTCAAAGAATTCTGAAATGCAAGTTTTCCAAGCTGTTTTACACTTTTGAAAAAAAAATCAAAATGATCAGACACTTGACAGGTGAGCTCCAGACTCCAGAAAATGATCGCAGTATTAAAACATGGTAGAGCTTAAGTTTTGTATTAAATTAATACTATTAGTCAATGTTTTGTAGAAATTCATCATAATCAGATATGCCGTTTGTTAGACCCCTTAGTTCCCTATCAGTGAAAACTTTAGCATTATTGAAACTTTTTGGCTCCAAATATCTCGTTTTGTTGAATATGTATGAAAGCTCTGTCAAAACATGGTTTTATTGTTGTTTCAATTTACTACATTCAACTTACCTGGAAACCTGTATTAGAAGGTTCTATTGTTCCAGTGGAACCCTTCTATTACAGGGACCCTTCTATTACAGGAGTCCTTCTGATAGAGGTTTTACTGTTATTATTCTACCCTTTTTCTTAATTTCCTAATTTCCCGTTTTCCACTTCTACTCTTCTGCCATTCTAGGAGGTCTTCTCCACCTCACCGCGAAACTTTTTTTCGAAACAATAAACAAGTTGAGACAAGTAGACAAAAAAAGAGGCCCTCTTATGTATCATTTGCATAAACTGTAAGTGGTTTACACAAGTCCTTGTGTTTGTTTTCAAATTGCTTCTCTTTCTTCTAGAAGTTTCTAGAAGTTTTGAACCTACTTTTGAATAGTAAACTGTAAAATGAGTTGATTTGCTGTAAAGGGAAGTAACATCTGAAAAAGTGTATATAAGACTTTAATTTCAGAGAAAACAACTATAGGAATCTGGTTTTCTTGTGGGCAAGGGGTTCCACTTGATCTTGAATATATCTTCTTCATTGATAATATAATTTGTCTCATTTCGTATTCTTGAATATTCTTGAATCTTCTTCCCCACCCCCCGATTCTCTACTGTTTCACTTCCAATCTTTCAATAGTTTCAGATGCATCCCAAACTCGACCCAATTCTAATTCTCTTTCCTTTTCTTCTTATCACCCCTTCCATTGCTCAGTTCACATCCCAAACGTATCCGGATCCTCGGTTAGATCCATTCTCATGTCGTTTGGCTCTTCCTTCACAAGTCTGTGATCCATCAGCGATTGTATCGGATGAAGAGAGAAGTCGATTGGTTCAAAGAGTCAATCAACTTCATTCATTGACTTCTGGCATCAAGAACACTTCTCCGTCATGTGCTTTGATGCCGGATAGAAATTTGGAGATCATTGTCGCCATTATCGACAAAATTGGATCAGTTCCAGGAGTTCCGATTGATATCGAGAAGTTCGCCAATAACTTAAAACGAAGATACCAAAACTTCCAGGTGATAAAATGAAGTAACAATACAATAAATTAAAATTGGATTCAGGATGTTGGAATGTGCGACACGACAGTTTTGATTGTCAATTCTCGTCAGGATCGTCAAGTGTTCACAGTTGCTGGAAGAGATGCAAAGATTTCAAAGGACACATTGAAATCTGCTTTTGAGAGAAATATCGGACATTTTAAGACAGGAAGATATGCTCTGGGACTGGAGGGAATGATTGAGGTCATTGTGGCAGCTTACTCGAATGCTCATATTGTACAAGTGCCAACTCCAGAAGCTTTCAGACCAACTGAGTGAGTTTTGATGATTTAATCGTTTTATAATCACCAGGACTGAAGGTGATACTAGCCAGGGTGTGTTTTTCAAAAGATATTTTTCGACTTCGAACGACATTTTGAAAAAAAAATACGAAATTTTAGCTCGAAACTTTTTCGAGAATTCGTTCCAACGTTCGAACCACGGAAGCTCAGTTCATTCAAGGTCATTTATCATGGTGGCCTAACTTTGCAAGTTGATTTTTTAGACCATCAGCTTTTTTGGCTTAGAAATGGTCTAAAATGACGCGAGTGTGTTTTCTCGGTCATTTTGACATGGTGGACTAACTTTTGCAAGCTGGGTTTTTGGGCCACCAGCTTTTTTGACTTAGAAATGGTGTAAAATGATCCTGTTGGATTTTCCATTTTCTAGACCATTTCTAGATCATTTCTACATGGTGGCCTATAAAACTCAACTTGCTAAAGTTAGGCCACCAAGATATACCCGTTTTCATCAGTACGAGTAACTGTGATCCACCCTGTAATTACTGTGATCCACCCTGCAACAACTTGAGATTACAAAAATAATTTATATTTTTCTAATCACCAAAGTTAAAACTTTTTTCCAGTTTTATGCCATCGGGACCATCCGCCGTCTCCGCTGTTGAATCCCAACCATTCCGTGCTGCTGGACTTCCAAACAGCGTCCAACCAGCCAAAAGACCATTCCCAGCGTTCAATTCCATCCAAGAAACTGTTGATGAAGATGATAAGGTTCGAAATTCCAAAAATTTTGGTATGATTGAACATCACTTTTCCAGGTATGGGTATCGATTCTTCAACAAGCCATGGCTAGATGCGGACAGAATGACGCCGACTTGCCGAAACATGTCAGAGCTGTTGTAGAAGGTTTGTTTTTTTTTTTCACTCTACAAAGTTTCCAATTTTCTTTGCAGAAGCCATGAACATTTCCCTGAAACTGATTTCTGACTCAAGGTACAACAAGATCGAAGAAGAAACCGAGGCCAATAAGGAAGTGCTCGGAAGTCGACAGAAGTAAGTGGAGGGAAAAGAAAAGGAATGACAAAAAAATCCTCGTAGAGTAATTGCACTACAGTAGTCTCTTTTTATGGCCCGCCGCAGAGCTGCCGCCCCCCCCCCCCAGTTTTCGTCATTTCTCGGGGAGTCTTTCTTGAAAGCCACTAAATGCATTAGTACATGTATTTATATCCCCTTTCATACTTCCAAAATTCTAAATTCCAAAAAAAAAATAAAAATTCGCTTATTCAATTTCCAGAGCTTGGGACTCGGCCACTGCTGAATTCATCCGTCCTCTCCTCCAAAAGTACCGTAATTCTGTTCTCTCTGGAGCAACCCAAACGTGTCCAGTCAGTGCTCCAGGAACGAGAAGAAGACATTTTTAAACTCTTTTCCAAGTTCTGGGATTTCTTGATTCTCTTTTTTTCTCTTTCAAATATCTGTAAATCCGAAATTCTTTTGTTTCTACGGGTACTGTCCTATATATTCCTAAAAAATAAATGTTGTTGTCTTCCCATATTTTTTTCCACGCTATCCTTCCACGACACCTTCCATTGAATTGTTCCCTTTGAAATTTTGGTCATTTTCTATTCCACTCTTTGCTTTTGATGCCACGTGGTTTACAGGTAAGAATCTAAAAATTGCGCTCGTTTGACAATATGTACGATTCAAAAATTTTCGAAAAATGAGTCATTGAGAACGCAAGTAACTTTTTTTGGTATTTTTCGGAATTTCTGATTCTCTGAATTTTTGAATTTCTGACTTTCTGAATTTCCGAATTTCTGATAAATTTCTGAATTTTTGAATTTCTGAATTTCTGAATTTCTAAATTTAAATTTTCAAAAAATGAGTCATTGAGAATGCAAATAAATGCACTCTCTCCGCCAGCTGGAATGATAATGAAAAACACAAAAACTGATAAAATAAATTGTATTGATTCACTAGGAAGGCATTTCCGTACCAAGCAAAAAAGCCAGCCAAAATTTCCGACGAAAAGCCAACAAAGTTTCGAATTTTTCCAAATGTCTGGGAGGTTTCCAAAGTTTTGAGTGTAAGTTTTCCTAATGCATTAGTAATGTGCTCCGTCCGTCCCTTTTTTCCTCATTTCTATCCGATCAAAATGCTCTTCTCATCCCGAAGAAGAGACAGAGAGAGTCATCATCACATTCACTTCCTCTCTATTCCCCTCTAGATCCAGTTTAATCCCCACTCTCCACCCACCGGAAGCTCTCGTTGGGCTTCAACTTTCAAAAATATTCAATTTTATTTTTTAAATTCCAACATTTTGTGCCTAACTCCAAACAATCTGATTTCTCCACAGCAACCAACGGTTTTCTTGGTGGCTGAATCGCCGAAAAAAGTCGTTGAGGAAGTTTTGGTAATTCTTTTGTGTGGAAAATCTAGATGAGCAATGCGCAAGTTAATAATAGTGATGTCAAAAATCTAAGGGTTCCCTATGAGGAGCAAAACAAGAAAATGAACTCTGATACACGGAGGGTTTTTTCAGAAGTTCAAAAACTCAAAAATTCAGAAATTCAGAAATTCGAAAATTCGGAAATTCGAAAATTCAGAAATTCAGACAATCAGAAATTTAGAAATTTAGAAATTCGGAAATCCCGGAAATTCAAAAATTTTGAAATTTCGAAATCCAGAAATTCAGAAATTCAGAAATTCAGAAATTCCCGAAACTCTGAAAAACGTATTTCAATTTCAGAAAATTGACAATTTTTTGAATTTCTTTTTCCGCTACACCTGTTTTTGTTTTGAAAAGTTTAGGACCTTTAAAGCCAGAAGTGAAAAATTGAAATATCTTAATCTAGGGAACTAAATATGAAAAATCTTCTCTAATTGTTTCCCAATTTCCAATAATTTCAGCGCGAGCCTCTCGACGATCAACCCGGATGCTGTGACGCGTTTCTCGGTCTCCTCCGAGCATGCGGTCTCATGTGCTACGTGGCATGTCCACCTGTCCCATCGGTGATCACCCGGAAATTGGCATTCCATCCACCAGAAAAAGGAATGACATATCGGATAGCAGTCAAATCGGATCCAGAGAAACGTTTCAAAAACATTCGTGGGTGTCGAGATGAGCCGATGCAGTTGGTGGTTAGGAATATGTCCAATGGAGCAGATTATGTTCATTCGGAACGAGAAGTCGAGGTGTTCTCGGTGACAACTGCCAACAACAATGAATTAGTTTGTATCAAGTGTACTCCGGATACCTATTCAGCTAATCCAGCTGTCGCCGAACAGGTTCGTTTTTTTTTTGAAGTTTTTATATTTACCGCATTCTCTATAACAGTCAACTTTGCGCTTAATCATTTCGGTTCCTATCAGAGATATCAAAAAATTTTTAACTAATAAATTATTGATCATAATTTAAGTAATATTTTGTTTGTTGATTACTTTTTGATATCTTGCACAGGAATCGAGATAAATAAGATCAGAGTTAAAGATTTGGGTGGGCTTCTGTTAGGCTTTACAGTAAATTTTTCAGGTAGTCCTTTTCTGCCAACCCAACTCATCGGATCTCGGCGGATTCCTTCAACCAAACTCGATGAATTTCGTCACCTATGCCAACGTTTTCGAGACGGATTTTTACGCATTTGACTATTCTGGATATGGATTCTCATCTGGAACACAAGGAGAGAAAAACGTTTACGCAGATATCAGAGCCGTTTATGATAAGATTCGAGAGACTAGACCGGATAAGAAGGTATGTGTCATAATCTATATTTTTAAATAATATTTTTAATTTCAGATTGTTGTCATGGGGTACAGTATTGGGACGACAGCAGCCGTCGATTTGGCATCAAGTAACCCTGAAGGGCTGGCCGGAGTTGTTCTGATTGCTCCGTTTACTAGTGGATTAAGACTGTTTTCAAGGAAACCTGACAAACCAGACACTTGCTGGGCAGACTCTTTTACTAGGTATTAATCCGATAGCCTGATTTTTTTCCTAAAATTTTATTTTTTCCGTTTTGACAAAGTGAATCGCATTGACACTCGAGTGCTTATATGTCATGGAGATTTAGATGAAGTGATCCCGCTGGCTCATGGAATGGCACTTTATGAGAAATTGAAGAATCCGGTACCTCCGTTGATTGTGCACGGAGCAAACCATCATACGATTCTCAGTGGGAAATATATTCACGTCTTCACTCGAATCGCAGGGCATGGTATTTTTTAAAAATTAAAATCTAGTTTTATATTTTTCAGATTTCTCCGCCACGAGACTCTAGTCAGCTCCCGATCGATGGAAGTGGAATCTCAGCAACAATCTCAAAATACGTCATCAAAGAAAACTACGGAGAGTCAAGAATAACCATTTGCCTTTCTTCACTGAAACTATACATACACGTGTACATGACCTATAAATGATTAAACATAATATAATTTATTTTATTAATTACTGTCTAATTGTGAATTTCAATGGGAATCCCATTGTAGGTCTTGTGATTGTTTCCGGTAGTGGAATATTCTCCCTGATTCCGACATCGGAATGTATTTGGAATCTTCGTAGGACCCATGATATTACTGTCTTTTCCTCCTGCATTGCGAATTTTTGACCGATACAGTTTCGGGGTCCCGCACTGAATGGAATGTAGGCATAGGCGTGTCGTTTGGCGATTTCGTCTTCATTGAATCTCTCTGGATCGTAGACTTCATGATTCTCATAAGTTCTTGGATTATTTTGAAGGAACGCCGGTGATACCATTACGGAACATCCTTTTGGAACAATTGTGCCATCTGTGAAACGTTGATTTTCGAACTACATACAGAACACCGTTGAAACTAAATTTTCAGTTGATCTTTGGCCATTATGACCACTTTCAGGAGTCTTGAGCTCCGCGGTCAAGTTTTAGGGCAATTTGAAAATTTTGGAGGTTATAAAACAGACCTAGATAAAAAACTTTACATTCACAGAGTTTTTTGAAAACTCCTGATTTTTCAGCTATTTACCGATTTCTGAAAAACACCCCACTTCTGCCCGAGTTTGTACTGAAAAGGTGACAAAACAGATGTCTTTCAGAAGTCGACAAATATCTGAAAAACTAAGAACTTTCAAAGAATTCTGCGAATGCAAAGTTTTCAATCTAAGTCTGTTTCACACTCTCAAAAATTTTCAAAGTGCTCGGAAAATTCACAGCTGAGCTCCATACTACGGAAAATTGTCCAAAAGCGAAAAACATCTTCTTACCAATTTCAAACTCCTCCTCCACTGATCTTGCAATCTGCGGAACGGATGGTCTCATTCTTAGTGCTTCTTTTACACACTTTTCCAAATATTTCATCTTCTTCAAATCATCGACAGTACATTCTCTTGGAGATCCTTCGAAAATTTGATCCAGCTCTTCATGACACTTTTTCTGATACTCCGGACTATTAGCGAGACACCATAGGGACCATCCGATTCCAGCAGACGTTGTGTCGTGTCCTTCAAACATAAATGTGTCAACTTCTTCCCGGATGTCCTCGTATCCAAGACCACCTTCATCCTTTTTCTTTAAGTTCAAAATTCAACAAAATTCAACAAACTTTCAAAAACTCACATCAATGAGCATATCCAAGAACGCCTTCTTCTTATTTTTGTCCTCTGAAAACCCTACAGATTCCTCGTGTTCTCTCAATTTCCCTTCGATAACTTTCTTTGTGAATGAAGTGACAATGTCCAGATTCCTCTGAAAATCAGCTTCATATCCAGATAAGTGCCGAATAGGTTTGATCCATAACCAAGGCATTCTCTGATATTTGAATGCCAAACTATTCATTTCATTCACTGCCATCACATATGGATGAGTATGATTTGTTTGGGCACTGACTGTCGTTCCCATTGCGGTTTCTGAAGTATTTGATTTTTTAAAAATTTAGTTCTAATCGAAATTCACCACAAATAATATCCAATGCGCATCTTTTGATGTATGGGAATGCATCAAATGTGTTATCCTTGGCATATCTCATTTCGTCTTCCAGCTGCTCCAGAAGGATCTAAATTGTTATTTTCAGTGAAAAGGTATTGTTTTTTGAAAATCTACCTTTCCCTGATTATCGAAAACTGCCTGGAAATCAATGAGAACATTGAAATGGAATGATGGAGTCATCATCTTTCTTCTTCCTCTCCATTTATCTCCACTGGCAAGAAGAAGGCCGGTTCCAAGCCATGGAAGGAAGATGTCGTATTCGCTACTCTTATTGATCAGAACATTGCTTTCGAGAACTTTCTGGAAAAATTATCATTTTTGTTTTTGGCTCCGCAGTCACTTCGAAACTGCGACCCTTTCGAAACCTGTTCTTTCGAAACCGGTCATTTCAAAACCGGGGTAATACAGGTGAATGAATAAATTTCAGACTACAAAAAACAACTTTAGGGTTTTCAATTACTATTTTTCTGATAGAATACAGTCTGAAAGTCGGAAAAATCCACAACGTAGTTTTTTCAATTTTTTCTATCAGAAGACCGTATGATAGTTTTTGCAGAGCCTGATTTTTAGGAATTCAAAAAACCTGGATTTTGAAAGTGTCTGTGAAGCTCAGTTTTGCATTGAAAAGTTTACCTTGCTAGCTTCAGGAGTCAAAATGATAACCATTGGATATGGTCCCATCCAGAACTTTGCAAGGGATGCTCCCTTGGAAGAATATTCCAGACCCCAATTATAGAGCTGTAGTGCAAATTCTGAAAATTTTTGTGATGAATTTATTTCACTTTCAGGAATTTCTGGTCCAGATAAAAAATCAACTCACCAACTGGATCCATTTTGAATTGCCAAGTTGTTCCTAACAATGGCAATGCATAGGGACCATCAATTTTGTCCATCAACTCATACAACCTTTTCCTTTCCTGAAGAAATCGCTGTGATCTGGCTCCATAAACTTAATCAACTTACCTTCACAAACTTTCCAATTTTCCCCAAATTCAGTAACACATAAAGTATGACAAGAGCCACCAAATACACGGCGAATCCCATTTCGCAGAAATCAGTCTGAAAATTTCAAAACCAATTTCTATATAAAGCAGTTTGAAAGTGTAGTATAGTTGTTTGTATTGGGAGAAAGACATGTGGTTGAGCTGATAAGGCCAGTCTTTCAACTTGGTAGTTTTTGAGACTAGAAATGGCTAGAAAACGTTTTAATGAGTGATGAGCAATCAAGATAAAACTAGATGTGCAGTTTTTTTAGATTCTGTAATTACAGAGTGTATTTAGATACTTGTGAAAAGTATTAATGTAAAAGCAACATTCGGGATGGCGCACAATTTACCGGACTGATAGAAATGGGTATATCTTTAGACATGAGCATCTTGGAAGCACGAAAATTAGTAGAAATATAATTTTACATTTGATTCAAAACTGCTAAAATTTTCAAACCGATTCCTCAAGCTTATGTATTGTTATGATTGTCCAAAGATGAACGGCGTAATATTTCCTGTGATTTTCATGAGAGGAAGCAACTTTGGCAAGCGATAACTCAGCTCAAAGTTGATCAAATAATTTGAAACTTTGCCAGTTTACTGATGAATTATCAGAATTAATATAATTCAATTTTGAGCCCAGTAAAATGCGTTACTCAAAAGTTATGATAGTTCAAACTTTAGTCTGAGTAATTATGCGCCACCCTGTTGAACAAGTTTAGGTGGTTTTCAAAGTAGAAATGGAGAAGAAATAATTTTAAATTGGTATTTTTTTGAAGCTGTATCGAAAACAAATAGATCATGGCTGAAATTCAGTAATCCAGAATTCCAAAAAATTAGAATTTCAAAATTTCAGAAACTCATAATATCTGAAATTCGGAAATTCGGAAATTCTGAAATTTGAAAATAACTACTTAAAACTTTTTCAAACACGGAAATCTAGCAAACTCCAAAACCATAAGGCAAGCAGCAAAATGAAATGATTTCGCTGAAAATGCCTATTTATCATTTTCTGCAAAAATGTGTACTTTTAAAAAGTAGTATTGACCTCTTTTTCTCTGCAGAGGAAATTTATTCTTTCTTGTTCAAAATGACTCTAAAAATGCTCGATCACAAACAAAAAACCTACAAACAAATCGACTCGATCATGATAAAATGATAAGAAGAAAATGAGAAGAGCAGCAAGAGAAAATTGAATTCAAAAACCATTTATAATCAAACAAAAAAAAGCACCATGAAGTGGTAAAAACAATGAAATGGAAACCCGTGATTTGTCAGCAGTGTTTTGGTAGTTTCAGCATGAGAAAAGAAAAATCAGAGCAAAAAACTAGAAATCATATCCAAAAAGAATGTAATCATGTTCATACAAGTATCGGAATATCCGGAAGAGATCCTCGTCTTTTCTCACTTTCTCCATTAGTTTGATTTCTTCTTCAGTCAACTCCATTGGAATTTCTGTAAATTTCAAGCTAGAAATGAAGGGAGGGATATGTAAACTGTCTTACTTAAAACTTCTTCCTTTATTACTTTCAGAGCATCTTGAGGTACCCCCTGTTGACCTAGAATCTTATTCAATTTGTCTGTAAACTTTATCATTTCCGTCTGATTCGCTCCAATTTTCAGCGATTCCACTCTCGGAAATTCTCGATTGTAATGGCAGTTCCTGCAATTTCAAAACTTTCCAATCTTTACGTCCTCAGACAGCCAAGGTGTCTCTACATGTTGGCGTTCGGCTAGTATTTTAGCGAAACCTGTCCTTTTTCTATCCTCACCAGACGTAAGGAATAGAAGTTGACCGAGCGACCCTATCAAATTGAGCGGCCGACACCTCCCGGGTTCCGCCGCCCACTATACTTTGTGTGGGCTTCGCGGCAAGAGAGTGTGCAAGTCGGAGATGCGCAGCGTAGGAGCGATTTCTCTATTGTATTTTCACTGTACTCACCAACTTTGAGGGCTGAAATGGTTGGTAATATAGGTTCGTGTTCTTCCAGCGAGTCCTTGCGCCACTTTTTCATGTTCTTTTATTAATTTTCTCATGAAACATCCAACATTTTCGTTGCAATTCATACATCTCTTGTCTCTAAAAATATACATTTTCGTTGAAATATTATTCTGGTACAAAAATTCGTAGTTATGGAAGAGAAGCATCAGTGGCCATGGCTGAGAGTCCTACTACGAGAACTTGACTGAAAACGCGCGAAAACGAAAAAAAATCCGGAAAAAGAAACATGTTACTTTTGTTGTTGCTGCGGGACCTTCGGCCACGGCCACCGGTGTTTCTCTTAAACATCTCTCATTCTTGCATACTGTAAAACCTGTAATAGACTGGCTCCCACACTGTCAGCTTTGAGCTCAATTATATCCTGGAAAAGATATCAAAAAGTGGTCAACTGGTAAAATGTTTCTGATATTTTGATAAAGAATTTATTAGTTGGCAACTTTCTCATATCTCCAACAGGAACCGAGATAAATTGGCTCACAGTTAGGGGCCCTTCTATTACAGGTTTTACGATAGCAGCATAATACTTACCGTTGACAATGCCTCATAAAAGATCGTGCGAATCGTTCCAGAGGATGTTGGACAAATGCAACTCTTCGAATTTTATTTGTTATGTATTTCTTCCACTGCTTCCAGTCTGGCAGATAGAACATTTTATCCTGGGAACAGAGTCTGGAATTTAGGATTTCAAAATAGAACATTCAGTAAAAAAAACATTACCCATTCTCGACTAAATCCTGAGAAATGGTCTTATTGGCCGCTGTGAATAGTGTCGAATTGTGAATGTAACAAAAGATGGCAGTGCTCATTTCCGGGAAATTTCCGTTTATAGTGCACCCCGAAATTTTGTATTTTGGAACAAACTGAAATAAAAAAATTTTTTTGCAAGAACGAGAAAAGAATCTTACATTTTCTATCCGATATCCTTCTGCAAACGGCGGAAGTGTCTTCAATAAGTCTGGCATCCACCAAACCCTTTTTCTGTCTGCAAAAAATTGTTTGATGATCCAAAAAGTGCGGAAGGTGGGAAAGTTTAGGCAATTTGGACTTATGTTCAAACATCAAGCGCCTGAAGGATTAGAGAATTACTGTAGTGGCGCACAATTGCCCGGACCGGTAAAAATGAATATATCTTTGGACATAAGTGTCTTGGAACCTCGAAAATTGGTAGATATATAATTTTACGTTTGATTCAAAGCGATCGCTTAAGCGACAGAAATTTTCAAAGCGATTCCTCAAGTCTAGGTAATGTTATGATTGTCCTAAGATGAACGGTGTGATTTTCAGGAGATGATTTTATGCTAGTACAAACTTTGGTCCGGGTAATTTAGCGCCACCCTGTACAGCACATTTTCTTGGATTACCAATTTTGTCATTTTGGTTTCAGCTATTATGTTTTGTAAGAGACGCCGTAAAACCTGTATTAGAAGAGCTGGCTTTTCTACTGTTCCAAGGTAGCTCCGCAGCAAGGCTGTGCAAATCGCGGCAGCGGCCGGCCGTGATTGAGGCCGTGGGTAGGTTGCCGTGGACTAATCAGTTCGTTCTTTCGAAAAAAACAAACCGTATCCTACCTGTCCTAGAAGTACCTTTTTCAAAAACCCGCGATTGGCCGTGGCACAGCCTTACTCCACAGGGCCATTCTATTAGAGAGGCACTTCTTTGTTTCCCGGGGCCATTTTTTCCAAAAACGTTTATCAAAAAATTAGGTTTATTTTCGTTCGAAATTCATAACAATTTATCGACTTTACCTAAATTGAGCAAGTTTCAACAAATTTCTGTAAAATTTCGAAATTTCCGGAATATTTTTAACTTCAAACAACACATTTTGAAGTGGGCCCTTATATTAGAGGGGTGCCTCAGTTAAAGGGGCTCTTCTAATAAAGGTTTTATGGTACTTTTAATAACTGTTGGAACTTTTCGTAAGATCATAGTATGGAATCAGTTTTATTAACACTATTTTCAAAAATCGACTCACTTGGATCTTCAATTCTGATTGGCTGCTGAATTACTTCTGGCGGATCATGAAATTGTGACCATGCACCCCATATTAAGCTGGCACAAATCAAAATCGGTATCACCCAAAATAATCGATTTGATGGTGGAGGTGGCTCGTGACTTCGTGATGCTGACATTCTTTTGTATTGAACTGGAAGTTCTCCGACTGGCGGAGGTGGAGGAGTTTCCGGGAGCGGTGGAGGCTTCTCACTTTCATTTCTGGTCCGTTTTACCATGTCCTGAGATTTTAAGGATCTTTATTTGAAGTGAATATTGAGAAAGGTCTAGAAAACTAAGAAGATGATCTCGACAACTATGAAACGTTCGGACGAGAATTATATATAGAAAGCTTTTTTAAACAGTTTTCACACCTTCTAGAAAAGGTTATGAATTGTAATTTTACAGCCATGGATTTCAAAGAAAAGGAACATTTTATAGTCTAAAAACTGTCTGAGACTAAAAAATTCCATGGCAAAGATCATGCCCAAAAAAGAGAGGGGAGTGAAATTCCAAGATTTTCCAACAGATAATAAAAAAATTTCGATGGTGACGCAATTTGGGGAAGGAACAAGTTCCGAGTTACAATAGGTTGAGAGTGGAAAAAATTTCAAAAACTTTGATGAGAAGCGAAGTGAAGCAATATGAATCATAACTTGTAATTTCCTTGAAACAGATTTTTCGAGAGAAACACCTGTTATAGAAGGGCCCCAACACTGTCGATTTCGAGCTAATTTTTCTTTGCTCCTGTGCAAGATATCAAGAATGTGTCAACTTATAAAATGTTTGTAATATTATGATAAACAGTTTAACACATTGTTATATCTTTGACAGGAACCAAAATAAATTGGCTCGAACTTTATATGCCGCAAAACTTGCTACAGAATGGCTCCCACACTGTAAACTTTAACCTGATTTATATCGGTTACTGTAAGAGATATCAAAAAGTGATCATCTGATAAAACACCTCTGACAATATGGTAAACATTTTATATTATGCTTGTCTGAGAAAAAAAGGTTAGAGAGTATTTTTTGCAGTCTGAGTACGGTAGCGATATCGAAGCGGAGAGCCTAAATAGCACACATAAGGTGGAGACACAGACACTTTTTCTCTGCGTCTCAACCTTTTTTTCTCAGACAAGGATAATAAGTTGACAACTTTTTCATATCTTTGACAGGAACCGAGATAAATTTCGTCAAAGTCAAAAGTTAGGGGCTCGTCTATTGCAGGTTTCACGGTACAAAAAAGCTACAATTTAAAAGGTATCTAATCAATTTTTCTGTTATGAACAAAAAAAACCTAAACATATCAATAAAATAAAATCTTGATCGATTCTTCCAGTTTCCTACACTCTTTCTAATCATCCGATACATGATCAGGTGGGATTATATGATGCTTGGATTGATGATCTGTGATAATTTTTTTGTGGATCAAAAATAGAATAAAACTGTTATGAGTTTACAAAAGTTCTTTGATGAGGGAAGTAATAGGGATGTATCCTAAAGGTTCCCAGACCATAAACGGAAAATATTGTAGTGCATGTATTGCGTAAATCGAATAGGTGAGAGATGTTTCAAGTTTTCTGTCCATCTTCATTTTGTATGTCTAAACCTCTTCGGATTGAAAACTATTTTTGCAATGTTTCGAGGAAGCAAGAAGCCAACGAAACATCTGTATGGTCAGTAGACCATGTCTTTTATAATGGCAGAAAATGATGATGATGCCATTTGAGGAAGACACGGTGACTCAAAATGTAAATAGAAGTTTGCAACTTTTAAAAGCGTTTTTTAGGATTTGAATTGGATAGCATACGATTAGACGAATTTGCAAATGAAGGTTAAGTATTACACTAGTACAAAATCGGAGCAATGGCCGTGGCCAAAGGTCCCACAGGGACAACTACCGTAACCTAAAAATATTTGTTATTTTCAGTATTTTTTTTAATCCCAAAAAAGTCGGAAAGTTAAATATTTTGATTGCAAAAAATTGACTGAAAATGTGTGGAACTCGAGAAAATGAATCCGGAAAATGAAATTTTCTTTAGGATACGGTAGTTTTCGTTTTGGGACCAATATAGTTAATTTACAGGTTTTAGGAACAAAAATGTCTAATAGTTACCTGAATTCTGATTGTGAGACAGCATGTGCGATTGCCTGGTGTCACCATCGGATGGAATCTAGAAAGCAGTTTTATTTTAAATGCGAGGTGTTTTTTGAATTTTGAGCTATTCAAAAATTCAAAAATGCTCAATTTAAAGAAATTTAGGGTGTTAGGGAAACTTAAAACTTGCTGAAGTACAGTAAAACTTGATATAAGGGCCTCCCACTATTCAGTTTGAGATAAATTAGGTGCTCAAAGATGACAGTTTAGGTTTTTTATTAGAGCGTTTACGGTTATGCGCCATCCTACATACTTGCATTTTAAGCTAAATTATCTTAATTTCTGTGAAAGATAACAAAAATGTGTCGACTGACAAAAATTTTTTGATATTATGATAAAGAATTTATCAGTTGACATATTTTTGATATCTCTTACAGTAACCAAGATAAACTGGCTCCAAGTTGAAAGTTAGGGGGCCCATTTATTACAGGTATTACGGTAAGTGGAAAAACTAACAAGTTTGTTTAATGTTAAGCAAAACATTAAAATTTCTCAATTTTTCAAAATACAGTATTTTTAGATTGGAAAAAATAAACTGTAAAAACAAATAAATGTGAAAAAGGGTGCGCTTTTTGGATCAAAAGTTGGAAAACTTTCAGTAAAGCTGAAAAGAAATGATTTTTACTCTAAAAATTATCAATTTCTCAGAACAAATCAAAAAACTGAATGCTCAATCAAAAAGCTCCACCGAAATATCAACAAATCAGCAGACCACTGTTCCGCCCGAAAAAAGAACATGTTGATAAAAGATAAGAAGCCTAGCGGGAGATATCAGGAACCTTTCAAAAATTGTCGTGTCACTCATAAATGCGTATCCAAGAGAGATAGAAACATCCAGAGGACACAAAACATTTATCTTCTCTCCTATTCAATTTTTCCCTCTCTTCGATTTTTGCCAAAACGAGATTCCCCTGGTGCCCCCCGCGCACTTCTTCTCATTTCTACACACCGTTATTGCTTATCCTTCGTTTTCCGAAAACAGAATTTTGGAGATTTAGAGAGAATAAAAGGAGAAGAAGCTGAAGAAGTGGTGGAGAAGAAGATGGCGTAATCATTGGGATATCGGAAAAATCAAAGCCTAGTGAGTGAGTGAGTGAATGGCTTGCGTAATGTCTTTTGCGCAGGAGGTGAAATGATAATAAATTATTGTTAAACTGATAGAAAACGAAAGATACATATCAGAGACCAAATGTGATGGTGGGAAAGTTTTTAGAAAATTAGCAAAAATGGAATAGAAACATTCTTATCAACTTCACAGAGCTCAGAGTATCACCGTAAACGCTGTAATAGAGTGTCACTCAAACTGTCAAATTTGAGCTCAATTATCTCATTTCCTGTCAGAAATATCAAAAAGTTATTAATCTGAAAAAATGTTACTGATTTCATGATCAATATTTTATCAGTTGACCACTTTTTGATATCTGTCACAGGAATGGAGATATATGAGCTCAAAGTTGAGGGCTCTGGTGCCACTCTCTTAGAGTGTATATGGTATTCTTCTAAACCGACTGATCAAAAATCGTCGAAAAGAGGAGTTTCTGAAATTTTTGGTAATCAATTTTGACTTCTTTTTCAAGAAAATTCGGTCTAGAAAAATTTGCATCAGAAAATCGATTGTAAAAATGAATGCTCTCTGAAAAAATACCGTAAAACCTGTAATAAAACAATAAATGACGCCATAACTTTCAACTTTAAGCTCAATTATCTCGGTTCCTGTCAAAAATATAAAAAAGCTATCAACTGGAAAATTGTTCATCATAATGTCACAGCCATTTTATCAGTTGACAAAATTTTGATATCTTGCATATGAGCCGAGAAAAGTTAACTCAAACTGGACAGTGTGAAGGCGCTTCTATTACAGGTTTTACGGTAGAATTCTGGGTGACTGCAAACCTTCGGGTTTCCCTAATAAGCGACCAAAAATTATGAAACGATTGTAATCTCTGAAAATTTTGGAAAATCCCAGAGATAGTTTATTCTAAATATATATTTTTGAAAAACTGGAATGAACATGAACTTTGCTTATGTTTTTTGTAATGTATATATCTCGGTCTCTGTGAAAGATATCAATAAGTAGTCAACTGATAAAATGTTTATGATATTATGATGAAAAATGTATTAGTTGACAACTTTTCAATATCTTTGACAGGAACCGAGATAAATTGGCTTAAAGTTGAAAGTTAGGGGGCCCTTTTATTGCAGGTTTTAAGGTGTTTTGAATTCCCGAAAACAACGTTTTCAATTTCAGATTTTCAGATTACAAATCAATCTCGAAAAAAAATAATTTCAAGAGAAATTTCGAGAATAAAAAGGTTACAACAGAAACTTCAAACAAGAAGCGTTCCCCAAAAAGATTCCCCTCAAAAAAAGAACAATCTGAACTACGAGATCTTTTCGGAATTTTTCTAGACACACCTAATTATTGCTTCGAAGATTTACACACCTTTTTGTCTCCCGCTGGTTATCTAGATCATGGATCTTTTTTCGGATATCTTGAATTCAAAAAAAAAAAAGAAGAAACAAGCATTATTAGTAAAGGGTTATGTAATGACACAAACATTGTCTCTGTCATCTGTCTTCCAAAAAGTCACCAAAAGCCAAAAAAAAAATTAAAAGAACCTGCCCTCGTGATGCATACGTAGATGGGAGAGGCAACGGTCTATAGATCTGATCCTCTCTTTTCTGCCGTTTAACAATATCTAATTTGTCCATTCCATTTCTCTTTGGCTTTTCCCTTTCTACCTGATTTCCGCACTTTTCAAGGTAGCCCACACGTTTATCAGCTAGCGTATAGCCCTGTTGTCACTCTTATCAATTTTTCAGACTGGTGTGTGTCTAGTGTGATGGGATTGGAATCTGATCCTATTAAACAGCTAGGTAGGTATCTGTGGAACTTTTTCTAGGGTTGTCACATTGTATTTAGTGTACAAAAGAACACCCTTTCTTTTCAATAAGCTTTTTCCGAACCAGGCGCTCATGAGACACTTAACAAGGATTTCATCTATTGTACTGACCTTTATTTTCCGGAAGTTATTGACTTTTTACGTAGTGGAGGAAGATGAGGAATTATTATTATTGGAAAGAAAATTGGAAATCTGGACAAACACAAAAACCACAGAATTTTCAAGATTTGTTCAGAAAGTGAGCTGCTCGTAACTGAATATTATTTAGCTTTGATTTATTTAATTCAGAATTTCAGAATTCTGAAAATCGACAGTTTTCGAGAATTTGAAATATACAGTAAAACCTGTATTAGAAGGGCCGGCCCTTCTATTTTTCGTGGGTCCCTAGGGGGGCACTTCAATTAGAGGGGCCCTTCAATTAGAGGGGGCACTTGTATTTTTCGTGGGTCCTCTGAGAACGGATCTTCTATTGGAGGGGCATCATTTTTAGTGGAAATTTCGTTTTTCTACTAAAAATCCATTACGATTTCTACATAAAAAAAAGCAAAAAACTGGCACCTGAAAATTTCGCGGGCGCCGTTTGTGTCGATTTACGAGGCCTCGCCCTTGAATCCGCTATCGTATCAAACGAAATTGATTTCTTTGAATTTAGTGGGATTTAAATTCAGATTTCTTGGTAAGATGTTGATCGCTAGGATTTTTAGGATTTTTAATTCAAAAAATCCATGCTTGATTGTGAAAGCTGCCCGAGCGAGAAAAACATCTGTATTAGAGCAACGACATTCGAATTCTCAGGTGTCAGTATTTTTTCAAATCAGACAGTATTTCAATCGAAACAACAGAAAGAAACGGCTGAAAACCAATGAAGGAAGTCAAAGGGGCACTTCAATAGGAGGAGGTACTTCAAATAGAGGGAGCACTTCTATTTTTCGTGATGCCTCTAGGGGGACATTTCAATTAGATGGGCCCTTCAATTTCAGGGGCCCTTCTAATACAGGTTTTACGGTATACAGTAAAACCTGTATTAGACGGGCCCCTTTAATAGAAGGGCCCTTCTAACAGGAGGGCACCGATGGGGCTTGCATTTAAGTACGTTTTCGGTAAAAAATATTTCGAAAATCCCGCAATTTTACAGAAATTTGATTGAAACCTTCATTTTTGCTCAAAAACTTGTTTGATTTTAATGAAATTTGACAGATTTTCATAAATTTTGAACGAAGGGCACCCTTCAATTGAAGGGCACCTGCAATAGAAAGGCCTCCGCAGGTACCTCGGAACAATAGAAGAGCTGGCCCTTCTAATACAGGTTTTAAGGTACATTGCTCTCTTGAATTTTCAAAATTTTCGTGAATTTTCAAATATCCTGAAACTTCCTGGAATTTTTGAATTTTTTTTTGAATTTTCAAATCTTTGCGTTTTTGGAAAATTTTCGGAATTTTTGGATTTCCTGAATTTCTAAATTTTTAGGGAAATTTCTGAATTTAAAAAATTCGACTTTTCGAGTTTCTGAATTTCCGAATACCCGACGAGAGGCAAACCTTTCAGCAAATCCTGTAAAAGAAGGCCCTCAAACTGTAAAGTTTAAGCTCATTTATCTCAATTTCTATAAGAGATATCAAAAACGTGTCAACTGGCAAAATAGTTTTGATATTGTGATAAACTTTTTATCAGTTGACAAATTTTTATATATCTTTTACGGAAATCGGCGGCATAATTGAGCTCAAAGTGCAAGTATAGGGTGTATTTCTATTAGAGTGTTTATGGTAGTTTTCTTTATTTGAGCCAGATTTGAGCCAACTTTGAGAATCTGGAAAGTAGGTCAGCAATATGAAAACCATAAGACGATATTTACTTTTGTAGTCGACCCATTTATTTTAATGCAAATCGCATTGGTTTATCTCTCCCAATCTAATTTCCACGTTTCCTAAAAAGATAAAACAGTTTTGTCATCATAATCACCGTCAGTGTGATTCACAACGTTAACTTCTTTATGATTCGATGGTGAGTTTGTTTATTTCCTGTCCCGCTTTTTTTTAACCGCCAAAAGGTCTCCAATCTCGGAAGATGCTAAAAACTTTATTGGATAACGACACGGTCCTATTTTCTTTTGGCACCGAATAAAGATTTTCAGTTACTAATATTTCGAATTTCAGCATGTACCAATTGTAAAAAATAGCAGGAAAAAAACACTAAAACGGAGTAGCCGAACAACAAAAAAGTCGAAAGGACCAGCTGGGAGCAAACGGAATTCCAGTCGAAAAAATTAGGTGAACTGAAGAAATCAATTGGATTTCTCATGGATAGTATTTAGAATCACTTTGGTCAACTCATTAGGAATCCCGGAAACTAGATCGTCCTGTTAGTTTTCAGTAAACATGTTTCTTCCGTTGAGAAACCGCTTGGTAGTACAAAAACCAAGATCAGATATGAAAATTTCGGTCATTGACCCACTTTTAAATCAAAATTCTGGCACAAAAAGTGAAATTCCGTCAAAAATCTCAGGTGGTCCTAAAGATATTGAACGGCTGAAAAAGTGAGTTTTGGGCCGTGTACCATACTTGTAACGGGCCG